TTGTGGGGGGGGGGGGGGTTGGGGGTTTGGGTGGGGGGTGTGTGGTTTTTTGGTGGGTGGTTGTTGGGGGGTGGTTTGGGTTTTGGTTGGGGGTTGTGGGGGGTGGTGTGGTTGGGGGGTGTGGGGGGGGGGGGGTGGGTGGGTTGGGGGGGGGGGTTGGGGGGTGTTGGGGTGTGGTTTGGGGGGGGGGGGTTTTTTGGGTTGGGTTTTTTGGTGTTTGGGGGGGTTTTTTTGGGGTGGGTTTTTTGTTGTGGTTTTGGGTGTTTTGTGTGGGGTTTTGGGGGGGGGGGGGGGGGGGGGGGGGGGGGGGGGGGGGGGGGGGGTTGTGTTTTGTGTTGGGGGGGGGTTTTTTTTGGGGGGTTTGGGGGGGGGGGGGGGTTTTTTTTTTTTTTTTTTTTGGGGGGGTTTGGGGGGGTTTTTTTGTTTTTTTGGGGGGGGGGTTTTGGGGGGGGGGGGGGGGGGGGGGTTTGGTTTTTTTTTTTTTTTTGGGGTTTTTTTTTTTGGGGGGTGGGTGTTGGGGTTTTTTTTTTTTTGGTTTTGGGTGGGGGTTTGTGGTGGGGGGGGGGTGGTGGGGGGTTGTTTTGGGGTTTTTGGGGGTGTTTTGTGTTGGTGTTTTGTTTGGGTTTGGGGTTTGGGGGGTGGGGTGGGGGTGTGGGGGGGTTTTTTTTTTTGGGGGGGGTGTGGGGTGTGGGTGTGGGTTGGTTTTTGGGGTGGGTTGTTTTTGTTTGGGTTTTTTTTTTTTTTTTTTGGGGGGGGGGGGGGGGGGGGGGGGGGGGGGGGGTGTTTTTGGGGGGGGGGTTGGTGGGTGGTGTTTTTTTGGGGGGGGGGGGGGGGGGGGGGGGGGTGTTTTTTTTTTTTTTTTTTTGGGTTTTTTTGGGGTTTTTGTTGGGGGTTTTTTTTTTTGTGTGTGTTTTTTTTGGGGGGGGGTTTTTTTTTGGGGGGTTGGTTGTGGGGGGGGGGTGGGGTTTTGGGTGGGTTTTTTTGTGTTTTTGGGGGGTGGTGGGGTGGTTTTTTGGTGGTGGGGGGGGGGGGTTGGGGGGGGGGGGTTGGGGGGGGGGGGGGGTGGGGGGGGGGTTTTGTTTTTTTTGGGGGGGGGGTGGGTTTTGGTGTGGGGGGGGGGTTTTGTTTGTGTTTTTGTGTGTTTGGTTTGGGGGGTTGGGGGGGGGGGGTTGGGTTTTTGTTTTTTTGTTGTGGGGTTTTGGGTGGGTTTGTTTGGTTTGTGTGGGGTTTTGTGTTGGGGGGGGGGGGGTGTGGGGGGGGGTGGGGGGGGGGGGGGGGGGGGTTGGGGGTTTTTTGTGTTTTGGGTGGGGGGGGGGGGGGTTTTTGGGGGGGGGGGGGGGGGGGGGGGGGGGGTTGGGGGGTTTTTTTTTTTTTTTTTTTTTTGGGGTTTTTGGGGGGGGGGGGGGTTGGGGTGTTTTTTTTTTGTTTTGGGGGTTTTTTGGGGGGGGGTTGGTTTGGGGGGGGGGGGGGTGGTTTTTTTTTTGGGTTGTTTTTGGTTTTTGGGGGGGTTTTGGGTTTTTTGGGGGGGGGTTTGTTTTTTTGGTGGGGTGGGGTGGGGTGGGGTGGGTTTTTTTGGGGGGTGTTGGTTGGGTTTTGGGGGGGGGGGGGTTTTTGGTTTTTGGGGGGGGGTTTTTTTGTGGGGGTTGGGGGGGTTGGGGTTTTGGGGTTTGGGGTTTGTGGGGTGTTTGGGGTTTTGGTTGGTGTTTTGTTGGGGTTGTGGTTGGGTTGTGTTTTTTTTGGGGGGGTGGTTTTGGGGGTTTTTTTGTTTTTTTTTGTTGTTTGGGGGTTTTTTTTTTTTTTTTTTTTTGGTTTTTGTTTTTTTTGGGGGTTTGGGGGGGGTTTTTTTTTGGGGTTTTTTGCAGGGGGGGGGGGGGGGGTGGGTTTGTTTGGTGGTTTTGGTGGGGTGTTGGGTTTTTTTTGGGTTTGGGTTGTTTTGGTTGTGGGGGTTTTTTTGGGTGGTTTTGGTGTTGTTTTTTTTTTTTGTTTTGTTTTTGGGGAGGGGTTTGGGGGTTTAGTGGGGTTGATTTGGGTTGTGGGTGTGTTGTTTTTTGTTTTGTGGTATGTGTGGGTTTTGTAGGGTTTTTTTGGGGGGGGTTTGGGTGGGGGGGGGGGGGGTTGGGTTTTGTGGTTGGGGGGGTTTTGGGTGTTGTTTGGTTGTGTGTGTTTTGTGGTTTTTGGTGTGGGGTTTTTTGTTTTGGTTTTGGGGGGGTTTTTGTTTTTGGTTTTGGTGGGGGGGGGGGGGTTTTTTTTTTTTGGTTTTTGTGGGGGTTGGGGGTTTTTGAGGGGGGTTGAGGGTTTTTTGTTGGGTGGTTGGGTTTTTGTTTGTTTTTGGTTTTTTTTTTTTGGGGGGGGGGGTGTTTGGGGGGTACGGGGGTGTGATGTTTTTTTTGAGTTTGGGGGGGGTGTGTGTTTTGGGGGTTTGGGGTTTGGGTTTGTTTTTTTGTTTTTGTTTTGGGTTTTTTTGGGGGTTTTGGTTTTTGGGTGGTTTTTGTGGTTTTTTTTTTTTGTGTTTTTTTTTTTTTTTTTTGAATTTTGGTGTTTTTTTTTGTTGTTGTTTATTTTTTGGTGTTTGGGTGTTGTTGGGTGGGGGTTTTGGGAGGGGGTGGTTTTGGGGGGGTTTGGGGGGGGGTGTGTGTTGGGTTTTTTGTGATTTTTGGTTTTTTTTTTTTTTTTGGGGTGTTGGGTTTTGGGGGGGGGTAGTTTTTTGGGGGGTGGGTTATGGGGGGGGGGGGTGGTGGGTTGTTGATTGGGTTGGGGTTTTTACCAGTGGGTTGTTTTGTTTGTGGTTTGTTGGGTTTGTGGTTTTGGGTGGTTGGGTGGTGTTTGGTTTTTTTTGGGTTTTGGGTGGGGGTTTGTGGGGGGTGTTTTGTTTTTGGTTTTGGGGTTTTTTGGTGGTTGTGTTTGGGGTTTGGTGGGGGGTGTGGGGGGGGGTTGGGGTTTTTTTGGATTGGAGTGGTGGGGTTGGGGGTGGTTTTTTTGTTGTGGGGGTGTTGTCAGGGTTGGTTGTGTTTTGTTTTGGGTGGTTTTTTGCAGGTTTGGTAGTGGGGGTTTTTTGGGTTTGGTAAGGTTGTGGGGCTGTGTTTTATATGGATTTTTGGGGTTGGTTTCGGGGGGGTTTTTTGTTTTTTGGGGGGTTTTGGGGTTCGGTTATTTTTTGTTGGTTTAGTGTTGGGGGTTTTGGGGGGGGGGTTTTGGGGGGGTGAAGTGGGGGGGGGGGGGTTTGTGTGGGGGGGCATAGTGGTGTTTTGTTTTTTTGGGGTGGTGTGTTTTTTGTGTTGTTGTGGGGTTGTTTTGTTTTTTGTGTGTGGTGGGTTTTGGGGGTTTTTGTGGTGGGGGGGGGGGGTTTGTTTTTTTAGTTGGTGGGGGGGGTGTGTGGGGGGGGTGTGTAATTTTGGGGGTTTGGTTTTTGGGGGGTGTAGTGAGGGGGGTTGTGTGTAGTGTTGGCCTCAGACTCCCCGCTTCTCCATCGCCCCTCAGACTCCCTCTTCTCCATCGCCCCTCAGACTCCCCGCTGATGCTTCTGGTCTCTGGTATCCTGTAGGTTCCTCCTCCGGGTGATGAGCTCGGTGCTGGGATTGGTGGTCAGTCAGTACGGAGCTCCGGATTGGTCGGTGAAGATATACGTATCCAATCACAGGACTCACTTCGATCACAACGCCCTCAGCCTGGTGGCCTCCTGCAGTTCGGTGAGTTCTCCTGTAGATGGCGATAGAAGATTGGATGTCATGTACTTGGCCCGCCCCCCTGGGATCTCATGTACTTGGCCCGCCCCCTGGGATCTCATGTACTTGGCCCGCCCCTGGGATCTCATGTACTTGGCCCGCCCCCTGGGATCTCATGTACTTGGTCCGCCCCCCTGGGATCTCATGTACTTGGCCCACCCCCCTGGGATCATGTCATGTACTTGGCCTTGGCCCCCCCTGGGATCTCATGTACTTGGCCCGCCCCCTGGGATCTCATGTATTTGGGGATCTCATGTACCCCCCCCCCTGGGATCTCATGTACTTGGTCCGCCCCCCTGGGATCTCATGTACTTGGCCCACCCCCCCTGGGATCTCATGTACTTGGCCCGCCCCCTGGGATCTCATGTACTTGGTACTTGGCCCGCCCCCTGGGATCTCATGTACTTGGCCCGCCCCCTGGGATCTCATGTACTTGGCCCACCCCCCTGGGATCTCATGTACTTGGCCCACCCCCCTGGGATCTCATGTACTTGGCCCACCCCCCCCCTGGGATCCATGTACTTGGTCCGCCCCCTGGTATCTCATGTATTTGGTCCGCCCCCCTGGGATCTCATGTACTGGCCCACCCCCTACTTGTATTTGTTCCGCCCCCCTTGGATCTCATGTACTTGGCCCGCCCCCTGGGATCTATCTCATGTATTTGGTCCGCCCCCTTGGATCTCATGTACTTGGCCCCCCCCTGGGATCTCATGTACTTGGCCCGCCCCCTGGGATCTCATGTACTTGGCCCGCCCCCTGGGATTATTATTATACAGGATTTATATGGCGGCAGAAGGTTTGCTCAGCGCTGTACATTATAGTGGGGACAGAACATGAGACAATACAGTAACAATACAATACACGAGGGGGGGAGGGCCCTGATCCTGGGAGCTTATATCTAGGAGGGAGGGGGTAGAGGTACAGGAGGAAGTGGCTGTGGGGGATGGAGTGGAGGAGATCGGCTGTTAGGTGGGGGTGGGGTAGACTTCCCTGAAGAGATGGGTTTTCAGGGTGCACCTAAAGGAGAGGAGAGTAGGTGATAATCTGATGGGTTGGGGTAGTGAGTTCCAGAGGATGGGGGAAGTCCTGGAGAAGTCCTGCAGTCGGGGGCGTGGGAGGAGGAGACCAGGGAGCTAGAGAGAAGGAGGTCTTGTGAGGAGCGAAGATTACGGGTTGGGTGGTATTTGGGTATCAGGTCAGTGAGGTAGTTTGGGGCGGAGTTATGAATGGCTTTGTATGTCAGAGTCAGTAGTTTGAATTTAATGCGTTGGGCAATCGGGAGCCAGTGGAGGGATTGGCAGAGGGGGGTGGAGGACACTGAATGGAGGCCAGTGGAGGGAATGGCAGAGGGGGGGGGAGGACACTGAGTGGAGGCCAGTGGAGGGATTGGCAGAGGGGTGGAGGACACTGAGTGGAGGCCAGTGGAGGGATTGGCAGAGAGGGGTGGAGGACACTGAATGGGAGGCCAGTGGAGGGATGGCAGAGGGGGTGGAGGACACTGAATGGAGGCCAGTGGAGGGAATGACAGAGGGGGGTGGAGGACACTGAATGGAGGCCAGTGGAGGGAATGACAGAGGTGGATGGAGGACACTGAGTGGAGGCCAGTGGAGGGATTGGCAGAGGGGGGTGGAGGCCAGTGGAGGGATGGCAGAGGGGAGTGGAGGACACTGAGTGGAGGCCAGTGGAGGGATTGGCAGAGGGGGGTGGAGGACACTGAGTGGAGGTCAGTGGAAAGATTGGCAGAGAGGGGTGGAGGCCAGTGGAGGGAATGACGGAGGGGGGTGGCAGAAGTGGAGCGGTTGGTGAGGTGGATGAGTCTGGCCGCTGAGTTCAGGATAGACTGAAGCGGGGATAGTCTGTGATGAGGGAGGCCGGTGAGGAGGGAGTTGCAGTAGTCCAGGCGTGAGATGATGAGGGTGTGTACGAGTTGTTTGGTGGTGTCTGGGGTGAGGCGGAGCCTGCATGAGTTTGCCAACGATTGGACATGGGGTTGGAAGGACAGGTTTGAGTCTAGAGTGACACCCAGGACTTTGGCTTGCGGGGTGGGAGTGATGGTGGAGTTGTTGGTCGTGATGGAGAGGGTGGAGGGGGTGGTGTCCAGGCTGGGGGGGGAAGACTAGGAGCTCGGTTTTGGAGAGGTTCAGTTTAAGGAAGTGGAGTGACATCCACTCTGATATGTCGCTCAGTAGGTGTGTGATTCGGGTGGAGACTGACTGAGGGGGTGAGGTGGGGGGTTGAGACTGAGGGGGTGAGGTGGGGGGGGGTTGAGACTGAGGGGGTGAGGTGGGGGGTTGAGACTTGAGGGGGTGAGGTGGGGGGCGGAGACTGAGGGGGTGAGGTGGGGGGCGGAGACTGAGGGGGTGAGGTGGGGGGCGGAGACTGAGGGGGTGAGGTGGGGGGCGGAGACCGAGGGGGTGAGGAGGGGGGGGGCGGAGACCGAGGGGGTGAGGTGGGGGGGGGAGAGATAGATTTGTGTGTCGTCGGCATAGAGGTGATAGTTGAAGCCGTGAGAGTGTATGAGTTGGCCAAGGGAGGAGGTGTAGATGGAGAAGAGAAGGGGCCCGAGGACAGAGCCTTGAGGGACCCCAACAGAGAGGGGGAGTGTGAGGGGGAGGTGGTAGGTAGCATTTTAGGTAACACTGAAGGAGCGCTGGGATAGATAGGATGAGAGCCAGGAGAGGGCGGAGTCTCTGAGGCCAAGGGAGTGTAGTTTTTTGAGGAGGAGGGGGTGGTGGACTGTGTGGAAGGCCGCAGAGAGGTCAAGGAGTAGGAGCACTGAGTAGTGGCCATTAGCTTTGGCGGTTAGGAGGTCGTTGGAGAGTTTTGAGTAAGGAAGGTTCGGTGGAGTGTAGGTGTTTTCGGTGGAGTGTAGGGCGGTTTCGGTGGAGTGTAGGGCGGTTTCGGTGGAGTGTAGGGCGGTTTCGGTGGAGTGTAGGGCGGTTTCGGTGGAATGTAGGGCGGTTTCGGTGGAGTGTAGGGGGGGTTCGGTGGAGCGTAGGGCTGTTTCGGTGGAGCGTAGGGGGGTTTCGGTGGAGTGTGGGCTGTTTCGGTGGAGCGTGGGGGGGTTTCGGTGGAGCGTGGGGGTTGTTTCGGTGGAGCGTGGGGCTGTTTCGGTGGAGCGTGGGGCGGTTTCGGTGGAGCGTGGGGTGGGGGTTCGGTGGAGCGTGGGGCTGTTTCGGTGGAGCGTGGGGCGGGTTTCGGTGGAGCGTGGGGTGCGGGTTTCGGTGGTGGAGCGTTTCCGGGGCTGTTTCGGTGGAGCGTAGGGGCTGTTTCGGTGGAGCGTGGGGCTGTTTCGGTGGAGCGTGGGGGCTGTTTCGGTGGAGCGTGGGGCTGTTTCGGTGGAGCGTGGGGCTGTTTCGGTGGAGCGTGGGGCTGTTTCGGTGGAGCGTGGGGCTGTTTCGGTGGAGCGTGGGGCGGGTTCGGTGGAGCGTAGGGCGGGTTCGGTGGAGCGTAGGGAGGTTTCGGTGGAGCGTAGGGGGGTGTCGGTGGAGCGTAGGGGGGGTTCGGTGGAGCGTAGGGAGGTTTCGGTGGAGCGTAGGGGCGGTTTCGGTGGAGCGTAGGGCGGTTTCGGTGGAGCGTAGGGCGGTTTCGGTGGAGCGTAGGGAGGTTTCGGTGGAGCGTAGGGAGGTTTCGGTGGAGCGTAGGGGGGTTTCGGTGGAGCGTAGGGGGGTTTCGGTGGAGCGTAGGGCGGTTTCGGTGGAGCGTAGGGCGGTTTCGGTGGAGCGTAGGGGGGGTTCGGTGGAGCGTAGGGGGCGGGTTCGGTGGAGCGTAGGGGGGGTTTCGGTGGAGCGTAGGGCGGTTTCGGTGGAGCGTAGGGCGGTTTCGGTGGAGCGTAGGGCGGTTTCGGTGGAGCGTAGGGCGGTTTCGGTGGAGCGTAGGGCGGTTTCGGTGGAGCGTAGGGCGGTTTCGGTGGAGCGTAGGGCGGTTTCGGTGGAGCGTAGGGCGGTTTCGGTGGAGCGTAGGGCGGTTTCGGTGGAGCGTAGGGCGGTTTCGGTGGAGCGTAGGGCGGTTTCGGTGGAGCGTAGGGCGGTTTCGGTGGAGCGTAGGGGGGGTTCGGTGGAGTGTAGGTGCGGTTTCGGTGGAGTGTAGGGCGGTTTCGGTGGAGCGTAGGGCGGGTTCGGTGGAGCGTAGGGCGGGTTTTCGGTGGAGCGTAGGGCGGTTTCGGTGGAGCGTAGGGCGGTTTCGGTGGAGCGTAGGGCGGTTTCGGTGGAGTGTAGGGCGGTTTCGGTGGAGTGTAGGGCGGTTTCGGTGGAGTGTAGGGCGGTTTCGGTGGAGCGTAGGGCGGTTTCGGTGGAGCGTAGGGGGGGTTTTTCGGTGGAGTGTATTGCGGTTTCGGTGGAGTGTAGGGCGGTTTCGGTGGAGCGTAGGGCGGGTTCGGTGGAGCGTAGGGCGGGTTTCGGTGGAGCGTAGGGCGGTTTCGGTGGAGCGTAGGGCGGTTTTCGGTGGAGCGTAGGGCGGTTTCGGTGGAGCGTAGGGCGGTTTCGGTGGAGCGTAGGCGGTTTCGGTGGAGTGTAGGGCGGTTTCGGTGGAGCGTAGGGCGGTTTTTTCGGTGGAGCGTAGGGCGGTTTCGGTGGAGCGTAGGGGGGGTTTCGGTGGAGTGTATTGGCGGTTTCGGTGGAGTGTAGGGCGGTTTCGGTGGAGCGTAGGGCGGGTTCGGTGGAGGTGTAGGGCGGGTTCGGTGGAGCGTAGGGCGGGTTTCGGTGGAGCGTAGGGCGGTTTCGGTGGAGCGTAGGGCGGTTTCGGTGGAGCGTAGGGCGGTTTCGGTGGAGCGTAGGGCGGTTTCGGTGGAGCGTAGGGCGGTTTCGGTGGAGCGTAGGGCGGTTTCGGTGGAGCGTAGGGGGGGTTCGGTGGAGTGTATTGGGCGGTTTCGGTGGAGTGTAGGGCGGTTTCGGTGGAGCGTAGGGCGGGTTCGGTGGAGCGTAGGGCGGTTTCGGTGGAGCGTAGGGCGGGTGTTTCGGTGGAGCGTAGGGCGGTTTCGGTGGAGTGTAGGGGCGGTTTCGGTGGAGTGTAGGGCGGTTTTCGGTGGAGTGTAGGGCGGTTTCGGTGGAGTGTAGGGCGGTTTCGGTGGAGTGTAGGGCGGTTTCGGTGGAGCGTAGGGGGGGTTCGGTGGAGTGTAGGGCGGTTTCGGTGGAGTGTAGGGCGGTTTTCGGTGGAGCGTAGGGCGGGTTCGGTGGAGCGTAGGGCGGGTTCGGTGGAGCGTAGGGCGGTTTCGGTGGAGCGTAGGGCGGTTTTCGGTGGAGCGTAGGGCGGTTTCGGTGGAGCGTAGGGCGGTTTCGGTGGAGCGTAGGGGGGGTTCGGTGGAGTGTAGGGCGGTTTCGGTGGAGTGTAGGGCGGTTTCGGTGGAGCGTAGGGCGGGTTCGGTGGAGCGTAGGGCGGTTTCGGTGGAGCGTAGGGCGGTTTCGGTGGAGCGTAGGGCGGTTTCGGTGGAGCGTAGGGCGGTTTCGGTGGAGCGTAGGGCGGTTTCGGTGGAGTGTAGGGCGGTTTCGGTGGAGTGTAGGGCGGTTTCGGTGGAGTGTAGGGGCGGTTTCGGTGGAGTGTAGGGCGGTTTCGGTGGAGTTGTAGGGCGGTTTCGGTGGAGCGTAGGGGGGGTTCGGTGGTGGAGTGTATTGCGGTTCGGTGGAGTGTAGGGCGGTTTCGGTGGAGTAGGGCGGTTCGGTGGAGCGTAGGGCGGGTTCGGTGGAGCGTAGGGCGGTTTCGGTGGAGCGTAGGGCGGTTTCGGTGGAGCGTAGGGCGGTTTCGGTGGAGCGTAGGGCGGTTTCGGTGGAGCGTAGGGCGGTTTCGGTGGAGTGTAGGGCGGTTTTCGGTGGAGCGTAGGGCGGTTTCGGTGGAGCGTAGGGCGGTTTCGGTGGAGCGTAGGGGGGGTTCGGTGGAGTGTATTGCGGTTTCGGTGGAGTGTAGGGGGTTTCGGTGGAGCGTTTTGGAGGGCGGGTTCGGTGGAGCGTAGGGCGGGTTCGGTGGAGCGTAGGGCGGGTTTTTTCGGTGGAGCGTAGGGCGGTTTCGGTGGAGCGTAGGGCGGTTTCGGTGGAGCGTAGGGCGGTTTCGGTGGAGCGTGTAGGGCGGTTTCGGTGGAGCGTAGGGCGGTTTCGGTGGAGTGTAGGGCGGTTTCGGTGGAGTGTAGGGCGGTTTCGGTGGAGTGTAGGGCGGTTTCGGTGGAGCGTAGGGCGGTTTCGGTGGAGCGTAGGGGGGGTTTCGGGAGTGGAGTGTAGTGTAGCGGTTTCGGTGGAGTGTAGGGCGGTTTCGGTGGAGCGTTTAGGGGGGTTTCGGTGGAGCGTAGGGCGGGTTCGGTGGAGCGTAGGGCGGTTTCGGTGGAGCGTAGGGGGGTGTTTCGGTGGAGCGTAGGGCGGTTTCGGTGGAGCGTAGGGCGGTTTCGGTGGAGTGTAGGGCGGTTTCGGTGGAGTGTAGGGCGGTTTCGGTGGAGCGTAGGGCGGTTTCGGTGGAGCGTAGGGCGGTTTCGGTGGAGCGTGGGGGGGGGTTCGGTGGAGTGTATTGCGGTTTCGGTGGAGTGTAGGGGCGGTTTCGGTGGAGGTAGGGCGGGTTTTCGGTGGAGCGTAGGGCGGGTTTCGGTGGAGCGTAGGGCGGTTTCGGTGGAGCGTAGGGCGGTTTCGGTGGAGCGTAGGGCGGTTTCGGTGGAGCGTAGGGCGGTTTCGGTGGAGCGTAGGGCGGTTTCGGTGGAGTGTAGGGCGGTTTCGGTGGAGCGTAGGGCGGTTTCGGTGGAGGTGTAGGGCGGTTTTTCGGTGGAGCGTAGGGGGGTTCGGTGGAGTGTAGGGCGGTTTCGGTGGAGTGTAGGGCGGTTTCGGTGGAGTGTAGGGAGGTTTCGGTGGAGTGTAGGGCGG